TGTAATTCATCTTTGTTGATCTCATGAAGCTCATTCATATCATAACGATCTTTGTGAAATCTTCACCGTGTCATTATGACGAACATCTGCACTTATCATAAAGATATTAAATCAAGCTTAATTCTAGAATCATTAAAATTTTCCATAGGCATGTTTTCCTAACAAAACACTGTTTATGCATGGTTTGTCCTTTTTAAACCTACGCGCTAGTGCTCAGGATCCAGGATTAGGTGTTCGGTTCATAGTTGATATCATTGCAACACATTTGCCGAACTGTTCAAACAGAAGCATTCGATCAGGCTTTTTGAAAGGCTTGCAAAAGCTAAATCAAGCAAGCAACGGTCGTCCATTTTCAGGGAAAAGAAAAAACAGAAAGAAAAGATGGTGCCACAACCTTCCCAGAGGTGAATTAACAAAAGGAAAGCTAATGGAGTACTATGTCAAAAGACTTAGTACGGACTCTCCAAAGTCTATACCAATCGCAACTTTGGAGTTTTGATTTAATCAATTTCATATGCAATTTAATTTAGTTAGGAGTCATCACTAATCTATTACGGGTCAATTAGAAACCCAAGTAAGATCCGGGAGAATATCTTACATCTGGGAACTAGAAATATCATGGATACAGGGAGTTGGTTATGCTAGATTAATTAATCTAACACCCTTTCTGTACCTTTTCTCTCATTCCAAAATATTTTGTTGACATGCTAAGTTAATTTTAATCCTAAACCACTAAAATGTGATGCGTGTTCATATGGGTGCACAATCAATAATTTAGCACTCAATAAATCAAAGAGTTAAATGAAAACTCCATTAAATCCAACACATCAAGTGCTCTGCATAATATTGACTAAACAATGTATGCATAACCTAAATATGATTTTTAAATGCAATGACAGTCAATTCTTTTTGGGTTTTTCTTTATTTAAAAAAATATATGGAGATGCAATTTTAATCTACATGATATGGTTTAATTGAAACGCTAATATGTGACTAACTAAATGACATGTGATATGTGGTATGCACCTAAGTGCTAAACATGTACGTGCCATATGGCATGCTATATATACTTGACTATTAATAAATCTCATGAGGCATTAAGATATGTCTAACTCAAACTTCATTGAATTCAATGATATATTATCTCAAAGCAATCAAAGTTTATTTAATCAATCGCACATAATAAGCATAGGTTATTAGTCACGAACAAATATGAGATAACGTTAAGGATCCGACCTCTAGTCTCAAAAGTCCAACCCCCAGTATATGTGATATTTAATGCTATGTATGATGCAAGGTAAGCTTAGGGGAACCAATGCTATCCTAAGACATGACAATGGACGTAGGTTGATCAATCTTAAAATATGCACACCTTGGAATTTGAACTATCAAAACTCGCTAGTCAAATAATATGTTACGCCCAACTTGATATCAAGCGTCCAAAAATTTCGCATCTCAATAAACGCTCACCTGGACAGCATGCATGGCAAGTTGAACTCAACTGCATGAACTCGAATTTCCTAATGCTAAAACGGGGACTTCGTGCAAGCAACCATTCCACACATCATGCAATTGCATCTAACTGAATATGGCCAACCAGAACAAATTACGCTCAGGAGCCACATGCAAAAAATTCTCAATCAATTCCTAAGGGCAGCCGCAGTTAGGCACGAGATTAAATCATCAACGATCGTGATTCTCTTGTTAAAACTTTGCATATCGTAACAAATGAAAGAACCCACCAATTATACTTGGAGAACCACGCAAACGAATCAACAATCTCGACGTGTTCGGTCACTTAGACAATATGGCAACAACTCGGTGTCTTGATCGATTCAAACCAGCGTATGCAGCTTTGCGATGAGAACTGAGTGTGACTTGGTGAGGCGAAGAGGGCCGGCGAGCAACGATGGGTGGAACCACGGCACGGCGAGTTTTCGCAATGACTTATAACGAGACTCCGGTGAATTCATCTAAATGCAGCTTCGACTGTAGGTGTGGCGGCAGGTTTGCAGTTAAATTACCGCCGAGGATTGCTTAAGGACGTCGGGGAGAACACTGTTGCAAGGATACCGAATGGTGAATCTATCGTTCCTAAGTTTTTGAAGGTGCTACCTTCAAGACTGATTACGGACCTCCTTGCTCAATGTATTAGCTCTGGAATCTCTTACAAAAAATATCAGAGTGGATATTTGTTCTAGACTTACATATTTTAAAGGCTTCTTTATAAAAATCCGGAATTCATCTTAGTTACTTGGAGTGGTTGAATCAATAGATACCTAGATTTCTCTATAGATAAATAAAGATTAAACCGATAAATACATGGAACTCATCTATAGCATTTAGCGATCTAATTGATAAACACTTGAAAAGCATCCCAAGAGTTTGAAAATTCCTTAACTAAATATTTAGATTTCTTTTTAAATATTCGAAAAGTGTCTTGACGAAGTACCCAGATTTCTTTTGAGGTATACGTAAAGATTTAATCGATAAACACCTAGATTTCTCCTTAGGCATCTAACGATCGAATTGATATCGAATTCGATAAACACCTAAAAATCATCCAAAGTGCTTAAAAATTCCTTAACGAAATATCTAGATTTCTCATTGACAATTGAGAGATGGAAAACTTTCAAGCACGAGCTGTTCGAGCGTTCTGAGCGCGAGCTCTCTGACTACGAGAGATGACACATTCCCAAACACAAGAGATCGAAGACTGAGTGCAAAATCATTAAGGGCGATTTTGATGGAGGGTTAATGGAGATAGATTTGGAACTTAAGTAAAAGTTGGTAATCTTTTATGAAACAAAAAAATTAGAGTAAAACTGAAACTTGAGTTTTTTTATGAGACAAAAAAAGTTTAGGGTAAAATTGATACTGGACCTAAAGCTGAGGGTTTTTTATGAGACAAATAGGGTAGAATTTGGACTTGATCTAAAGTTGGAGTTTTTTATGGGACAAAAAAAGTTTAGAGTATAATTGAGACTAGACCTAAAGTTGGAGGTTTATATGAGATAAGTAGAATTGGGACAAATGCTAAAGTTGGACAAATGCTTTATCAGACAAATGCAAAGATAGCTAAGTGAGCACCCAATTGAAAATATAATCTTATTACGCTTTGTGGTATGCTCTCTCTCTCTCTGCACCAAAAGGATGTCCAGCGTGCCAAACTATAGATTACCCACAAGAGACGACTCAATCTAAGGCTGCAAAATTGCCCGTGCACTATTGCCCACTGCGGGAAGCTCGTGACCCTTACCCCACCATGATGTGAGTGGGTAGCCCCGGGGGAAAATTACCAATAAAATCATAAATTTATTGCATTTGTACCAATTCAGTCTTAATTCTTTCAATTGTACCAAAGCATAAAGGAGAACTTCAGCATCTTCATAACAAAGTCAACGAAGATTACTGGAAAAATGATGTGCAAATACCATGCCACCAGCATGGTCATAAAAAGCTCTTGATTTGACTAACTATTAATTCAGCATTATTAGCAGAAAGTTAACACAAAGCTTCATCGGAGTTGTAGAATGATACTGCATGAGGTATCGATTCTGTAATAACAAATTCACTTCATAAAGTGAGCAGAGATAGCAGCAATGGGAAATATGAATCGCAATTACATCATCAAAAGGATCATCCAATATTTCTTCATAAAGCCAGGAATCCAGACCCTCTAGATATGACAGAGCAAGAGCAAGGCAACATCAATGTGATATTTGTGCTGGTGTGCGCTTGGCACTAAAATGATCACTTTTTAACAATGACCGGCACTGAAGTGATCGCTTTTTAATAATAACAAGCAATAAAGTGATTACTTAAAAAAAATTGGCACTTAAACGATTACTATTTACAACTTTTAGACGACATCGTTTAGGGATTATATGCTGACTGGGCACGCCGACGAGCCACGTAGTTGTGACATTCCGAATTTCGACCCATTTTTGGGATTTATAAAACGTGTATTTCGTCGGTGCGCTTATAGTTAAATCTCGCCCATAACTGATCACTCTCGGGTTATTTTTAAATTTGAGATTTCGCTAAAATCGCACTCGATTGAATTTGGCCGTTATTTAGAGTCCGAACTTTGGTGTCGAATTTCTTGGAGCTTTGCGAATTTAATTAAACGGTGTCGATATTATTGTGGCCAGTGTCGATATTGTCCGGGATTGGTGAAAAGTGAAATTTGGACCGGGTGCGGATTTTAACTAGTAGATCTCCATCTTAATGTGTTTTAGTTAGTGTTTTTGGCCCTTTTTCCTAATTTATAATTAGGATTTTTCGTGGACCGTCGGATCAACTCCGAGTTTAAACGTGAGCCGTTGGATCACACTCGATTAGTTGACTTTCTCTCTCTCTCTCTCCTCTCCCCCTCTGCCCGCGCGTCCCCTCCGTGCACGTCCCCTCCTCCCCCCGCCATGCAGACCTACCCCATCTCTCTCTCTCTCCTCCTTTTCCTTCTTCTTTTTCTTCTTCCTTCTTTCTTCTTCTTTTCTTCTTCTTCTTCTTCTTCTGTTGTCTTTTCCTTCCTGCTGGTTCGCTGCTTCTTGTTCTGCTTCTTGGCTTCTTCTGGCTGCACGCCTGACCCGCAGTCACCGTCCAAGTCACTGGAAACCGCCGCTCACCACCGGAGACCGACGCTGCCCACCGCACCACCATTTCTTTCATTTCTTGCTCGGTTTGCTTGGATTTTTCAAAGTAAGTGGCTTCCTAACCCTTGACTAGGCTAAGGGGTGACTAATGGACATGTTAGGTATGGTTTAGGGCGCGCATGGTAACATTTCTATTTCTCTATTTTTCTATTTTTCTGTTCCCGAGAATATGTTTGGAACAAAAATCCGTTTGGTAACGCAATTTCATTTTTCTATTTCTGGAATAAATTTCTACTCCAAAAATAAATTTGGAACAGAAATAAGGTTTAAAAAAAATTGCTTTTCTATTTTTGAAATAGAAATAGAAATTATTTGCACAGTAACCAAAACCATGTTACCTTCAGCTTCGCTCAACAAAAACAGATCTCTGTCCATACGCTTCGCTCAACAAAAACCATAGGTAGGCCGTCGCTCATCTCCACTCCGAATCCGACTCCGTCCACCTCTTCGGCGTCGACTCCGACTTCGTGTTCCTCACCAGCGTCGACCCTCGCGGAACAATGCCCTCACTGCACGAGCCTCTTCTCGACGCCTCCCACGCAATCCACTTTGAATCTGACTCTGTCCTCCTCGTCGGCGTCAACTTCGACTACGTCTTCCTTGCTAGCGTCGATTCTGTCCTCCTCATCGACCCCCACGGAACAACGACCTCATCGACGTCAGGACCCTCTCTTCTCAACACCAATAGGTAACTACTTTCCTACGCAATCGGTGTGCTTCCCCTCTTCGTCTCGCTCGTGCTGTGAATAGGTGTGATTTTTTGTCTAACGATTAGGGCATTGAAGTTTAATTTTGGGTTTAAGGCCGATGGCATGAGTTTTGTTTGGGGTCTTTGTATTTGCTCGCTCGTCCGTTCAGTCTCTGCAGCACCTGGTATAATTTGACGAGGATTTGAGCTCGTTCAGTGACAGAGCAATGAAAGAGAGAAGCTTTCTCCCCACAGACCTAGTAAAAAAATCCATCATAGCAGTAGAATAGTAAGTTATGGTAAAGATGAAAATGCATCATGTAAGAGAGACAACCAATGACAGAAATACACGCAGTGAACAAGAAACGGATCCACATCATTCTTCTGAAAATTTATGCCCGAGTAACAAAATATCAAATAGCAAAAAAGCTAGAGTAGAACTAGTATCAGAAGCCATTTAACTTGGCGAGACACATCTGTTCGCACTGGAAATAGATTAAGGATATTTGTCTAGTCTAAAAATTCCAATAGTAGATGGAAATTCTTAGAATTTTTCAAAGAATGGCCTTTTGGGAAAACGAAATCACTAGGTACAAGCTCTAAATGAACAATACTGTAACCACTTCCAGGTTGATCAACATGCAACTGCGTCAACAATAAGCAAGTGCTAAGAACTTACTCTACTTCTCTGTAGTAGGATTTCATTGTAGATTTCCAAGATGGCATCATATCTGGAACTCACTAGAAGGGGAAAGAAATTTCAAACACTGCTTATACAAAAGTCCACGTTTAACGATTTGTTATTAGATGTCAAATAGTGCATAGCACCTGGATAACACTTATGATGATGATGCATACGAAGATGAGCACAATGGTGTTAGAGGAATAGTATAATTGATCACGGTGAGACGCAGATTACTAATGATGTTGTCATGATAATACTACTGCATACAATACTCAGATGAAAAGCAGTCCATTTGAAAAGGAGCAAATATATTCAACAAACCATACCTTCAGGAGGCCATTGGTTCAGATTCTTTTGATGCGAACAATCTTCTAGAGGGCCAATGTAGTAACTCTCTTTTGAGTCACCTAATGGAATCACAGACCTGTGAGTAATAACCAACCTATTTTTCTGTCCACTGAATTGTAGATTGTTGTTCCAGAGATTTCAGCCTGAATATGTCCAGTACACTTAATGTTATATTAAGAAAAATCGAAAAAGGTTTAAATAAAGAAAATGAGTCGAGTACTCACCTGGGATGAAAATATGGCAGCTGAAGTGCGATTCACCAAAGGCTTGAACCTCACTGTCTTGGGTTTAATTGGGGCAAGATCACTTTCAAAACCTATTTTAGGGGTTGATTCATTAATTGCAGCTGCAAGGGGCTCTGAGAAAGACCTAACAGTGCAAAAGGTAGGCCGTGATGCAACTGGTTTTGCGATCACCATTCTCTCTGCCTCTTTATTAGTCTCCATTAGTACTTGTATAGGCAATAAATATCAAATGCACTCAATGCATGGCTAGCTTGTTCAAGATACGGGATGATTAGGTACTCTAATCTATCTTGTGGTCAGAACGCTCTATAGTCTTAGATTCAGGTGGCTGAAGTTTAGTTAACGTGAATGGCGGGGTAGAGCAATCCTTCGGGAGCCTCCACACTCAACCAACTAACAACTTCAGCTTAGTAAGTGCATTATAACATCTTCTGACTTGCATAATACTAGAAATAGTAAGTATATTGTATTTTCCCTCAAAAGAGGAGAAGAAAAAGTAGAGCTCGCATAGTCATGTTGCGTATTTTCCCCCAAACTGTCCAGTTTGGTTAGACCAAGCGTTAGCTTGGTGCAGCACAATGAGACTTCTGAAGATGATATATGCTTGCTTGTACAATATGATATGCGGATGTTCTCTTTCAATTTTCTTCGTGCCTTTTGTTTTATTTATAGCTTTTTGAACATTAGATATATGTGATCTTGACATCAAATTTTCTACGCTTGAATTGGTATACCATATGATATGGCTCATTTGATCTCGGTCAATTAAGGTTAAATGGCATCCCACAAAGAGGCATTCATGGCAAAGTGGACCGAGCCGTTAACCAATATGCTTGTAAGTTTGTTGGTAGAAGAGGTGAAAAAGGGAAATCGCACCATTTGTACTTACAACAAAGCAGGGTGGAATAACATACTTACCCAATTCAATAAACAAACAACACTTCAGTTTAGTTTAGTTCAGTTGAAGAACAGGGTAAACAAACTGAAGAGACAGTATGGTAGTTTTAAGAAGATGCTTTCACAATCTGGATTTGGATGGGATAATGTTAACAAAACGGTTGCTGTGGAGGATCCAAGTGTATGGGAGTCTCACGTCAAGGTATCACTTTAGTTGGGTCATTCTATTCTTATTGTGGATGTAATCTTCAATTATGTTGCTGACGTATGTCAGTGTTGACAAAATTACAGGATAACAACGAATGGGCTAAATTTCGAAAAGATGGGTTTCCTCAGTATCCCGATTTGTGTATTGTGTTCGGTGATACATATGCTACAGGGGAGTATGCAGTAGGAAATGCAGAGTACTTGGTGGTGTCGGAGGGGTAAGACAATGGTTTTGGTGGTGGCGGCAATGGTGGTGGCGACAATGGTGGTGGTGACAATGGTGACGGCGGCGGCGGCTGCGACAATGGTGGTGGTGCTGAGGTGGGTGATCCGGAGGAACTTAGTGAGTATCCTAATGATGAGGGAGTCTTCGCACCTGATGTGACTGCCACGCCAGTTCGTGAGAAGCACAAGTTGGATAGAACTCCAAATTCCAAGAGGAGGAGAAAGAGTAACACATATGATGCTTCTGGCAAGAGAGATTATTGTACCACCATCCTTCGAAGTTGTCCCAGAGGAGATTCTTATGGATCCTACCCATAAACACTACTTCAAGGTAGAATTTTCATACATTCATTTACACCATTAGTTTCATTTTGTAACGCCCTTACCTCACCTCGGTCACGCCTCGGCCAAGACCGTAACCTGAGGCTTATTTTTTTACGTCCCATTCATTGTTATCTTTCTTTAAACACAAGCGGAAGCATAATTTCGGGACAATCACATTAAGAACAACAACGGGATTAAGACAAACAGCATCATGAGGAACCTTATATAACAGCTTGAAATCAATCAAGGAAAGCACAACAAGCATAACATGCTATTTCCATTTTACTTAAACAGATTTTACAAGCCTTTTTTCCATTGGCCGTTCCTCGTACAAATCATATTACAAGCGGAGGTCGAGGTTAATCCTAACTCCTCTATGTCATCCTTTATCTTACGGACCAGAAAAAGGAAAACAACGGGGGATGAGTTGGGGAGACTCAATGAGTAAATTCACTAATACTCGTGCAGGATGATGCCTCGCCGTCGTACTAACGCATACAAATAGTTTCCCCGCCTTATGTCGATGGCAAATCAATAACAAAGCCTTTGACCTTGCTCTTGCTATGTTCACATGGAAACTCACCTTTATCCGATCACATAAATGCGGCTTATCAATAAATACACATACCGGCACACATATAGAATTCATTTATCATTATCCTGGCTCAACCAGGCCATCCAGCTTCATGCTAGGCATCCTGGGTCAACCAAGGCATCCCGGCTCAACCGAGGCATCCCGGGGCTAGCTCACTCGAGGCATCCGGGCTCAACCAAGGCATCCTAGCTCAACTAGGGCATCCCGGCACTAGTTTACCGAGACATCCGGGCTCAACCCAGGCATCCTAGCTCAACTAGGGCATCCCGGCGCTAGTTTACCGAGGCATCGCCACCAACGCTATGTGACAACGGTCTTCTTCTTTCATTTAGTGATCAACCATCATGGGTCACACAAGCCGGTTTATTATATTGATTTCATTAGTCCATGCAATCAAGCACAAAGGCGTGTCGTGCTTGTGTAATCATGATTTCTAGAACATTCGCCTAACATGCGGGTCGCGGTCGAGGGCACGTGGTTCAGTCCGCCATGTCGAGCGTCGGCTCGGAGCCGAACTTGGCCTAGATCTACACATCCCAATGTAAACCCGTACCAAGCCAACTCATCCCGTAACGCCACAACATGAGTACGAAACCATACGACACCCCGTTTCGTGACTCGTACGTGCCTTGACTTACGATTATGAAGCAAAATAAGAAGCATTCATGCAAACATCGAGCATGATAACAGGCGATGCGTGCAACATCAAGACAAACAACAACACGCAAGTCTCAACAAAGGTTCGGGTGAGAACTCAAGCCAACAATGCATCATAACTTCCTATCCCGAGATTAGGGAATCCACTTACAAGCCGCTTTCCAACCACGTAACACACCGCCCTATCCAAGTGTTAGGGAATTCACTCACCTATAAACAACTATAATCACAAGAAAACGTCTACGGCGGTCGGCGGCGACAAACGGCGAGAGAGAGATGATTGGCGTGATGGTGAGAGAGAGAGGTGATGGCTGAAATGGTGAGAAATGAAGGAGTGGTGCCGCTATTTATAGGCTACACTTACTTCTTCCCCAAGCCACATCTTCTTGCCATCATTACCAAATCTTCATAGATTTTGTCATCATGACCAAATCTTCCTTCATTAATGTCTAGATTTAGCCATCATTACCAAATCTTCTAAGATTTTGTCATCATTACTTTGATTTTGGAAATCCTGGCTATTAATGAAGAAAGGCCAAAATGTCATGATGAAAACTTGATTTTGGAAATCTTGGTATTTAATGAATAAGAGCCAAAAGCCATGATGAAATGCCATTAATAACTTGATTTTGGAAATCTTGGCATTAATGAATAAGAGCTAAAATAACATGATGAAATGCCCTTAAAGTCTTAGCCATTAATGTGGCTTCTCGAGCAAGATTTAATCTTAGCCACATAACCTAAACTTGGGCCCTAAGTTTCAATCTAGGTTTTAGGTGCCTTGATTGACCATACTAGTCTGATCTATAACCGACCCTCAAATCGGTCCATACACTATTTCTATGGTCAATTCCTAGGGACTGAAATTGAGGATGTTACAATTCTCCTCCTCTAAAACAAATTTCGTCCCCGAAATTTAAAACATATTTAGGGTTTAGTTTCCCTTTCCTTTTTGAAATTCTAAAGGCTTCCGTTGCTTATTCGTATAACATTTTTAGTTTATTTTAGACAGTCCTAAGCCTATTTTCACTTACCTGAACGTCATCAGTCGAAGTTTGGACTAGCTCTAGACCAGTGACCTTTCTTTCCTCGACCTTGATCCAACAGACTGGAGTTCTGCAAGCTCGACCATTTAATTCTTCAAATGGAGCCATGCCAGGTGTTCATCCATATTTCCTCTAAAACGGATAATGCTAAATCTTCTTGATTTCAAGATTGTCTGCGGTAACGACTAAATTTTCGGAAGTATTTCCAACTCGACCATGCTTCTGCTGCGCCACTCTGATACAATCTTCCTTAAAGATAGTTTACTCTTATATTGTGGTCAATGTCGTATAGGGCCAACGCGAATAGATTTACTATGCCCTTTTATTTACTTATAACAATCCTACATCCTTGGCATTCTACAGTAGACAGGAATTTATTCAGCGATGACGGTCCTAGAATTTTCTGCTTCCTCTTGAGTGATTGCGTAAACCCTTTCCTGAGTTGGCGGACGCTGGAAATTGTCGCGTTGCGGTGCTCCGGTTTGTTGCATCGCATGCGGCTGTTGCAGGGGCATCATTTACCGTCGTTGCGGACAATCTCTGATGATGTGGCCTTGTTGACCACAACCGAAGCAAGCTCCCGTTCGAGCCAAGCACGGAGCGTTGCCGTGTCGTTTCCCACGATTGCGGCATACATCACTTGGAACGAAGGTCGGCCTCAGGGTCTTATTCTTCTTGTTGGAAACAAATGGACGTTCTCCTTCCTGTATCGGCCTCTTGTCATGATGCTGATTGACTTGAGAGGCTAGATAACGAGGCCTTCCTTGGTTAGTGATGGCAGCTCGCTCCAATAAATCTTTCTCTATCAGTTGAGCTCGTTTGTACAACTCGTTGTAGTCCTTGAGATTCAGCGGCACCAATTGACTTCGGATGTCAGGTTTCAGGCCATCTCGGAACCTCTTCTCCCTATCCACCGGATCTTCAATCAACCTAAGAGCATACCTGGACAGTTCAGTGAACTTGGCTTCGTACTGATCAACCGTCATGTTGTTTTGTTGGAGTCGCAGAAATTCCTCCATCTTTTTATCACGAGCACATTCGGAAAAATATTTTCCATTAAACGCGTTGATAAACGCATTCCAAGTCATGACGGTATCAGCAGGGAACACCATTCCTTGCGTTGCTTTCCACTAGTGACTGGCGTTACCTTCTAGCTGGTACATCGCCAAGGTCACCTTATCTTCATCAGAGCATTTCAGAAGTGCAAATATCTTTTCTAACTTATTGACCCATGATTCGGCTTCTTCGGGATCTCCTGTCTCGACAAATTTTAGGGGTCGTAACTTTAGAAATTGCTCAACTAGCCCATGCGTTGTACGGTGACCATTTCCGTTTCCATTTCCATCGGCATTCCCAGCAACATGGTTTACTTGTTGTTGAACCTATTGGCCCATTAATTCTCCAATGGTCGCAAGAGCTTGCAGAATTCGGTCTAGTCGGGGGTCTTCTTTTGACTTTCCTTTGGAACTCGACTGGCCCTGAGTCGTCTTTCCTCTTGTGGTCACTTGGTCCTGAGCACTCATGTTGCCGACTAATAGGACAACTATCGGAATTCTAACAGAACTTTCTACATCACAGGAATAGGTCAGTGGTCAAAATCAAATGTAATTAACCGAGGCCTATTTAACAATCAATCAAATAGTCACATGTGCAGGGTGTTTCCTAGCTAACTACCCCAACTTCAGCGCACCTTATCACTCCAGGTCTTTATTTCCGCTTGGATTTCAGAATCGTTCTCCCCCATTCAATGCATAGTTCGGTTTGTTCCTCTCTTACCCATCATCCTAGAAGCCTGCCAGGAGCCGCACCTTGTTCAGGTCTTCAACCCCGGCAACCACTCCCCGCCCTCATCGGATCGTGTCCTTTCAAGATTCTATAGCCTCTTCTTGGCTCAACACCGAACTTGTACTTACTGGAGGGGAACCTGCTCTGATACCAAATTAGACTGTAACGCCCTTACCTCACCTCGGTCACGCCTCGGCCAAGACCGTAACCTGAGGCTTATTTTTTGACATCCCATTCATTGTTATCTTTCTTTAAACACAAGCTGAAGCATAATTTCGGGACAATCACATTAAGAACAACAGCGGGATTAAGACAAACAGCATCATGAGCAAACCTTATATAACAGCTTGAAATCAATCAAGGAAAGCACAACAGGCATAACATGCTATTTCCATTTTACTTAAACAGATTTTACAAGCCCTTTTTCCACTGGCCGTTCCTCGTACAAATCATATTACAAGCGGAGGTCGAGGTTAATCCTAGCTCTTATATGTCATCCTTCATCTTACGGACCAGAAAAAGGAAAACAACGGGGGATGAGTCGGGGAGAC